GTCAAGTGGATGTGGCTACCAACTGACTAGATATACATAAGCACATGGGAACTCTGAAGTGTCTTCCAATCCTCAAAAATCTTAAGAGCAGTAAAAACGAACACTGTCTTTTACAAAACATCATTCCCTACCACTTCTCTCAATAGAGCCCTCAAGTACCCCACTAACATCGAACAAGAAATGATTAAATTTTATTTACAATTTTAAGTGGACAGAAGATTTTCCCTAACCTCATTTGGTTGAATTAAGAGGTCTAAGATGCCTAAAGAAGTGGGGAAATGTTGTTCTCAAAAAGAGATAGACTTCATTATATTTATTGCTTCAATACCTAAAATGATTATTCGAAGACAAATCCATGAGATCCTTCATGTGCTTATGTTTCTCAGATTCACTAGCAACACACAATCTGCTTACCTCTTCACCAGTCGATCTAAATTTTGAAGGATTTGGAACTTCCCCATATATCTATAAGTATACACATTACCAGGTTGCAACGGAAACAAGTTTTTTCCGTACTCAGATCTCTCAGTTTTCACTTATTGTGCTAAAAGTTTCCAAAACTTGTTTTAGTTTCCATCTTTAGAAGGCCATACTCAGACAAGACCATGGCTATTCACATGGCTCGTATTATTCAAAGTAAACAAATTCTTAGGCGGTCTTCAAAAGGAATTGATTTTCCAAAGGGATATGTTGCTGTTTATGTTCGGGAGATTGAGAAGAAACACTTTGTTATTCCCTTAACATACTTGAGTCAGCCATTGTTGCAAGATTTATTAAGTCAAGTTGAAGAAGAATTCGGATTTGATCATCCAATGGGTGGCCTTACCATTCCATGCAGTGAGGATATTTTCACTAATCTCATGTCTCACTTGAGAAGGATATGAGATTATAAACTAATTGTTCTTTGTATCACAATTTTGTAAAGAAATAGCTTATGGAATTATCTTGCATTTGTTTCACTATTCTCTCAACCGAGGAGGAATTTCCGAAGGGGCACATTGTCCTACGGAAAGTGTAAACACAACTAGATATCCACTAGGTCATTCAGCTGTAAAAACATCACTTGAATGAAATTGGAATTTCATAGTAATTTGTAATTTCATGCATTCTGTAGTTTGTTGTTTGGTCCAATTCCCTTAAATCCAATTTCTTTTTTTTATGTTTGGGTCTAAAACTTTTTGTTATGAAACGGATCACAAGATAATAGAAATAATGAAATAAAGAAGAAGAACACAAGAACACAAAAATTTACGTGCAAACCCAATTCGGGAAAATACCACGGGCAGAGGAGAACAATCTACTGTAATCAATAGTTTTGTGTTTACAATATCAACATTTAAATAATCTCAATTGAAATCTAAACTCTCAATCT